TGGAAAAAACGGAACGCGAGCGTTAAAGGGTGTTGCGGAAAATTTTCCCAGTTCCGTGTTATATAAATCAAATAAATAAACAGAAGATATAACCACATTATTACGGCCGATTTTTGCAGCAACCATAATCGTATTAGCGGGAATGTCCGTGCGATCGTCCGATAAGCTGCGTTACAATTTTAGGAGACAGAATATCTGCCTAAGAGATCGACACTCGACTTTCCTCCTCCTACCAAGGCTTAACGGGCATCACGGCGGAAGCCGTAAAGTACTATTACGCAGAAGAGATGTCGAGAGTGGAGTCGTCTCTTTCTCTGTCTGTCTGTCAGTTTCTCTCTTTCTCAGTCTCTTTGGGCTTTTGATTAGTATTCGAGGCTTGGCTCGCGACACGTCACATATCCGACTTATGGCCAGCGCGCTGAGACTCGTGCGTTTGGAGGAGCGGCGGCGGTTCCTTTGCGCTCGTACGGCGTCTTTACCTCGGCTCTTTGTTTTTCAATCGCGCCGTATTAATCTTAATTTCGAATTCGCGGCGCACACGTTCTCTTCGTTAACCCGAGCGTGGTCGGGTTTCATCCGCGCACCTCGAATGAACCGAGATTCAAAGAGGCAGGGCATCTCGCATGCGCGCGACACCGCGACGTCGTGTGCGAGCGCATCAATCGTGCTCGGCTTTCGGCCTCCGTGCGTTTCGCACTTTCGGGGTCCATTCCACTGGTATTGTATTCAAATAAGATGCCGGGAGATCGATCACCCGAACGTTGGGGTGTAAATTAGGCCGCGAGCGACAAACGAGTTTTCGCGGGAGGCCGTTAGCTTCTTGTAACAAGGCCTTGCTATAGTTTATGGCTACTACAACTGGGACACTCAACTTATCTCATCCCCTCATCAAATACATTTAATTTTGTCAGTCAAGAGCTCAGTCTGTTACTCAGTTAATTATAATTAACGTCAATTCCTTTGATCGCAAAAAATACCTTGGGGAGAGTTCTTTACCTTCTTTACCCACCTACGTTCACTAATATAAATTGGCGTCACGTAAGTTTTTCCTGCATCGTGCACGAGTGTCTTATATTTAGGAACGATATTACGATAAGAAAAAATTTAAGACGTTATTCAAAAATCGATGAAAACCAGGCGCGAAATATGAGACCACCGAATGACGAATGCAACGTGCCTCACCTCATTTAACGAATGACTTACGATTTTATGACCAAATTTACGTTCTACTCTATTACCCCGATCGTACACCGTAAAAAAAGAGGTCGCGCTTATTTTATTTATACGAGTTTAGAATTAGTACCGTAATTTTTGGCTTATAAATTTGGTGGGCAGCGGAAGCCTTGTCGGTATGAGTCCAATTTGGTCGTTTCGCCAAGTAGTCACGAAAGCGCACAAAATCCTCAACGAGGCGAAATTCAATTGTTAGGGAAGATAGTAGACGCACGCAGAAACAACGGGAGAAATATGAAGAGAGACTAAAAGCAGCGGCGGAGTTCCCATAAGAAGCTCTGAGTAAATGCACAGCGGCTTGTTTCATAGGAAGTCGACAGGCCGTGTGCGTGCACCGGCAGAGAAGTGCGGCTAATTCGACAAATTCGGCCAATTGCGTAATTCCAAAAAAGGATAGGATGTCATTGACCAGCTGGAAACGTCATCGTCGCTCGCAAATAGGAAAACGCCTTGCGATTTATGCGCAAGCAATATGCATGTAGAAAGAGAAAGATTGTAGGCACTGTAATACTGGGAACCTTGCCGGCGAGACTTGGTAGTTACGTCACGTCGCGGTGACTACAAAGTATCCAGTCCTCCTCTTCCTTGGTTGCGAGTGAGAATGGGACACAACACTTGCATACCTACTTTATTTCGTGCGCACATATCGATTGCTCAGGGGCCGCACAACCTAGGAAAATTGTCGATTCTGCGGATCCTTGAACCAAACGGATTTATTGCCCACTCGCATTTGCAATTTAAACATGAACCTATTATTTAAATACCGCAAGCGATATTAACAATGTTTTACTTAATTGCTCGTTTCATATTTACTTTTTATAACGAAGATCGAAATAATGGCCGAAGTAGCCTGGAACTGAAGAAAGATGAAGAAAGATGCAATAGAACCGTGCGAATGTAACAGCATCGATAGTCCCATAATTAATTGTTGAAGAGAAGCTATTTATTTTAACCATTTTTTGCCTCTCGTCTATATGGATACTTCATTGATGTAAAGCTCAATTTATGATTTTGCTCAGATTTTAACGAAGAGAATAGTGTAAGCGCCGCTGACACTTAAGATCTAGTATTCTATACTTTTCAGCATATATATATATATATATATATATATATATATATATATATATATATCTGTACTTAACAAAATTATAGCTGGCTCGATTTCTTACAAGGATCAATGGTGGACAATGTGTGATATATTTTTTTCCTTCCGCTCCGCCACGCACCCGAAGCTTTTAGCCATAAATTGTGCAAAACTGGCGCGTTTCTAATAATTAATGTTCTAACAATTAACCACATATTAACGCACATGTACTGCAAGAATAAAAGCACTTTTGCTCAAACAGACATTAAAAATCCGATTTTCTCCATGAGTCATGCACGAAAGCCCTGCAAAATTATAATGCTCGTGCAGATATATTGGCCTTACTCTCATCTTGATGAGTGCAAGCTATTCCCCTTTCTTCCCGTTCCATGAGTAAAAAGCGAGAAGTAAACGGAGAAAAATGAAACGCGAGAGGAGCAACGATCGTCTCGGAAAAGTGCATATTCAGAGCTGCAATGCTTCACTTAACTTTAGTTAGTCCATTCTTTCATTATCGTGACATTCGAAGCCAAGTGTCGTGCGATGATTTCGATGCATTTGATGAATGCGTCGCCTGGAGTAGACGAAGAGTAAACATTAATTATTATTAACCGTTATGGTCGTAACGTACATAGAGTTTATATGAATTTTTTCCATCACAATATGAATTGTTCGTATCCGGTCAAATATACAAACTTTTGCAATTGCCATGTGAAATGAATACTTTTCCTTCCAAGTTAATCTTCTACATTATACTTGCGTCAATATTTATATTTATTTCTTTACGCGAGCCTTAATCCCATTGAATCTCATAACCTTCATCAATGAGAGAAAATTGTCTCATCCCAAATATTAAACTGTCAAATTCAATTTATAGTTTGTACTTGCATTTATATAATAATGTATTTTTATATTATTGACGTATCATTGATTAAGTTCAGCAATAATTCTAGAAGACGTTATGCGTAAAATAATTAACAAGCTCGCGGCTCCTCTTAATAAAGGCTAAAGCACGGGAAAATAAATCGTTTGTGCTATGATTATGATTGCAATGAAATGTACATGGTAAAGAAAACAAAGAGAGAAGGAAAAAAAGAGATAGAGAGAGAGAGAGAGAGAGAGAGAGAGAGAGAGAGAAGGAGGAGCGGACAGAGAGCACGAAGAGAATCAGAATGGAGACACTTGGCTAGTACGTGCTTCTTGTGATTGTATTGGTGGAGAACGTTGCGTCACGTCATGCATTGTTTCAGCAACGATGAATCCGCGTCCTTGACTGATTTTTTTATATTCGGCTCTCATCCGAATCGCTCCCTAGACGATATAGCAAGGATGCATTGAATTGATAAAGTTGATGTCGATCCGAGAATGTTCCACAGCGTTGTGCGCCACCACCCATATGCCAGATTAATCAAAACATAATTACCGGAGGAGCGCAATTGGAAATCTTGTTGATTACTTGTGTCGGCGCTACGACTGATTTCGATCAACGGCGAGGCACGTTTGCCACCCCTCGACTTAAACGAAAATCGGCGTCCCGTTCAGTCATTGATTGTATCGGACCATTCACTTAAAATTGACTGATCAACAATGCCGATAAAAGTTTTCGGAGAAACGTTACAAAGTCGACGGTCTGGAGTCAGACGGGGGATCGGATTACTTTAAGCTCGATTGGCTAATTGTCCACTGCGCTCATTGAGCGCGAATTTATCACGCCCGTGATAATGCGAGCGATCACGATTGTGTATTATTTAAATTGCGAAAGAGACCGAGTATTGGAAAAAAGAAAAGTTTCCGTCACATTTGGTGATTAATCGTGATTAATGGGAGAGGCGCGGGATCATAAAACGGCAAAACGCGCTCAAGTATTCGTAGAGTTGCCGTTGGGATGATAACCTCTTGGCTAGTGCCGGCTGATGATCCGGACCGATAAAGCTCCGCGGCTCCTGTCCGCGCGAGTATAAATAAAAGCCGGCGACGACGTCTTTTTGTACTAGGAAGCGTACAAAAGTATTAACGATGGCGTCGTACGATAAACCACAGTTGCGCGCACAATGCCTCTCTTATTCGTCTCTTGACTATTTCAATTTAGATAACCTGCACACTGAGATAATGTGTCTAATGTCGGGATTTTGATCTCCTTTTACACGCGATAAATCACAGTTACTCTCGTGAGCGACCTCCGAAACGAGGTGTTACCGGGCCGAAAATTTATGCTTCTGCAAGGTGGACTCTAATTCTCAACAGCGATGCAGGCCATCGGAAGCTGCTCCTCGCCCTTTTATCTTTTATCTTGTCGATAAAACGTGTTTAACTTTGAACATAAGTTAACATGAATAATTGTATTCTGAAAGATGTTTGGAATAGTATTTGATTGAATTGTAAAATCTTGCTTGGTTCTAATGATGTAAAATTTGGGATTTATGTTTATCTAATGAAAGTCTACATGATGTCTCGATAATGTATGAGTCTTGATTGTGCTTAATAAATATTATAAGCTGATAAGCAATTATTGGATCATATTTAAGAATCTATTACAAAATTTTATAAATACATGCTCCAATTTCCATAATAGTCATTGATCTATTATTTTAAATTACGTTAATGTGATAAAACATTGAAAGGGTAATAAGATAGATAATAGGTGATCAACCTCTCAACGAATTGTTGTCTACGATTGTTACAGGTTAACCGACCGCTGACCATGAAAAAGGAGGGTATCCAGACGCGAAATCGAAAACTCTCGTCTAAGAGTAAAAAGAAAAAAGCGGGTGGATGCCTAGGTCTGGGCGGTGTAATGGGTGATATGATCAAAGCTACCGGCCATTTAGATCTCGACAATAAGCCCTTCCATTCGGGATTCGGTTCACCAATGGGCGAATATCGTAAGTATCGTAAGCACAACTTTCATTAAACCTATCACCTATCCAAATACCTCTCTCTCTCTCTCTCTCTCTCTCTCTCTCTCTCTCTCTCTCTATCTCTCATCTCATTTTAGCGATTCTAATCACTATTATATTTTGACTAGCACGACGAACGAATATAGATTAATATCATATTTTAATTATAGTAATGGATGTGCAACGGAATAAAAGTTCGAATAAAAGTTGGAATAGACTTTGCATTGGATTGAAAATTTATTCCACTTTTCAGAACACTAATGTTTCTTTTAAGAAACGAGAAATAATTTGTTTCACTTTTATACATAATACATTAATCCCAAAATTATCTACAATAATAGAATAAAATCACTAATATGCATTTTTATCGTTGCGAGCATTACTCGTATCATAGATGTTTATTTACATTTGTCAATTACGATAACGAAGTATTTTTAAGCCAGTGGGATTTGTTCCTTCAGTCTCCTCCCCTTCATCATTATCACGTGCTACCATTCGTTCTCACGGTATTCGTACCCTTCAATGATTTCGCAGGTACCTCGCAGCACCACCATACGATGCATCCGGCTATGCAGCACTACATGTACCATACAGGCGTCGGCGTCGGCGTGACCGGATCACTTCATCAGGGCTTCGCGCCGCCAGCGCCACCTCCCATTCATCCGCACTCGCACTCCCATTCCCACTCCCATCACATGACGAGCCTCCAGGGTCTTCAGCTTGCAGCCACGACGAACGCTATGGTGAGTCGACGATTTAATTTTTTTGCCTGATGTCTAATATCGGTCGCGATGCTTTGAACAATGTGTCGTGACATTTTCTTTCTCTCGGCATATTTACCGAATTGCTTGTTGACTTCTTATTGACTCACTAGACAAGCTTTATATTATTTAAATTGATAATCTCGTCTTATAAACGTTTATATAAATTTTCGTGACCTGAAGTTTTTAACTATGTTATTCTATTTTATTTATGTTGTAATTAATTTTATTTCTGCTTATTTTGGTTTAGCAATAATTTGCCATATTGTATTATTTACGAAGCACTTTATTAAATGTAGCTTGGCAATCACCATTGTTTTCCTCGGAGCATATGTAATTTCCTTACAATTGACTATTTAAATGTAGAGTGCCGTTCGCCCAGTATTTTATCATTAACCCTTGTTAACACTTTCAATTCTATATAATTTTATCGTGAAGTTTAAATTTTTTTTGTTTTTGTTTTTGTTCTTCACAACTAAAGAATATTAAAAGAATAATTAACTTATTATACAAATAAGAGAACAAAAAAATTAAATAGGCTGACTAATGAATACAAATGATTAATTATATGTAATAACTAAGTGTGAAACAAGGGTTGTCAATTTGAAATGAAAGTTCCGAAGACTTTAATTTGATGTATAAATTTAGAACGCGAATGTTCTATCGGTACCATATAGCTTGTATGATTGCTAGTTAAATACTTCAAACTTTTTAAAGATCGTATTTCAAAAGGCCCAAGGTCGAACACGAGGGGTTGCAGACTTCTGACGTCGGTGCATCGCATATTTCTGTTTCAGACTGGTTGGCGATCAGAGTATACATGAACGGCTAATCCGGAGCACTAAGCAGACGAAGAAAAGGCAGCATGGGCTGCGCTAGGAAGCAGCTCAGGATGAAACCCATCTCGTGCACCAGGACGCAACATCTAAGCCAGCTCTTCCTTTTTACTCATAAACAGAGTTTGCGCATGCGTATGCGCGATCCGGGCTTCTCTCCAGGGTAAATAATAACGGGAGTCATTGCGACAGTTGAGACAATGAGGTTTCCATCCAGCAACAGGGTTTATTTACGTTTTTTTCGATTACAAGGCCACTAACACACCAGTTCGCCTACGAGGAGTATCCTTTCTCCTTCGTTGCTTTTTTTTTTATAATTAACGCACATAGCATATGTAGCGAAAGCGGAGGAATTTTATTCATTGGCAAATAATATGTAAATATGTAAAGTAATTCCAAGATAAGAAAGGTAATGGAGTGAAAAAAAGAAAAACAAATTATTTAGGGTCCATCGAGCCCCGGCCCCAAGTACAAACGAAGTCAGCTTTTAATTATATACTTGTATCGAGTCTTATAATTCTTGTACATAACAGCACAATTATATCGTATATTATGATAATAATTATAATAAAGAAAACAAAACGAGAGAATACGCGCGTGAATTATATGGTAAATAATTCTGTCGAGAGAAAGGGGAAGAGTGAAAGCGTGAGTGCAGTGAGAAAAATTCATTTTTCTCGCTTCCGTTTCCCTCGCGCAGTAGCGGACCTCATTTCGTTCCTTTTTCTTTTTTAAAATAAGTTTTCCGTGATGGTTGTTCATAATGAATAATTTAGAGAGGAGCAATTGAAGAAAAAAAAATAAGTGAATGAGTCTATAGTACTAAGAGAAGCATTTGTTTTTGCAGTCAGATTGATAATTAATTAAAGTGGATGAAAAATTTTTTAAAGTGAATGCTGTTAGTAACAAAATTTAATTTTTCACCTAAGTTTAAATACTTTAGTTAGAAAAAAGAAACGAAGACTAGTGATCTGGAAATTTTGTTGTGATAAATAGGGCACATTTATTTATTAAAAAGTAAAAATAATTTAATGATACATGTGTTTGAATCAAGTGCTAATGACGATATGGTTTTTAGTTGAAAATTTTGAATTATCATGCTCATTAGTTACTTGGTCAATTTATTTGTAATTTAATTGGTCGTTTTTTCAACAAAAATCGAAATCATTAGACTCTCTTCAGTGCAAGACCGTATGAAAGAGGGAGAAAAGGAAGAAAAGTGTGAGTGCGTGCGTTCGGGTGTACGCTCGCGCGTGTATACTTACGAGAGAGAAAATACGTTTCGTATACATGACGAAAAAGAATAGTAAAAAAAATTAAATAGACTCAAATTTGAAGTGTAGACTGGAATGAAACGTTTGAGTCCTCACTCATACGCTCCGAGAGCAAAACAGTGCAACGCAAAATGAATATTGCAAGGTCGAGGAGATGCGTGTATAAAAGATAAAGCGTTTGAGATTTTAGCCTATTCCTTTGTTCAAAGGTATATCGTGCAATTTTAAAAATAACAAAAAGCGATTATGATGATAATGACGTTTCATCGGGCGTTTTATTAGCCGGACAGCCGACAACGCATTAATTTTTTTTATCTCTTTCATTTACGTTTTTATCGCACTATATTCTGCATCACATAGCTAATAAATATTTGTGTTTGATAAAGAACACAACATGTTCGAAAGTCGCTGATTTTCATTTAGAAAAATGAATTTCTCAAAGTAATACAGTTATATTGTCAAGGAAATAAAGAAGATTTTTAATCGCGTCAACAGTACGCGTTTATAAGTAAAGTAAAGTTGATTTTCAATTAATGATTTTTATTAACGATATGAAAAGTTTTCCATTCGGTGAGAAAGAATATTGTTTTATGTTTATATTGTGAGCACAAAAGTAAAGTTAGTTGACCGGCAAGCCAATTGCTAAGACTTGTGCAATCGGCCGTCCGACGGCGCCCCCCAAAATACAGTCGTTTTGTGTGTTGTAAATGGTTAGTAATATAAAGAAAAATATACGTTTATAAATTATATCGATCTCTCCTCTTTAGAAATTACACGATTGTATGCACATTGGGATTATGTATCTGATTTTTAAGAAGGAGGGACAAAGAATGTCAAATAGAGAGAGAGAGAGAACTCGCGCGTTACCAATACTCGTTTATTGCTTCGTTGTTGAAATATAATTAACAGAATAAGCAGAAAAAATTGAATAAACTCGTAAATAATAATATCGAACATATATAGTCAAATAAGCGCGCGAGAATACGTTTGGATGAAAAATAAATATAAAAAAAAAAAATTATAGAAAACGAAAGTCAGATGGAGAGAAGTAAAGTGTAAATTTTGTATCTTTGCGATTGTGTATCGTGTTATATTATTGTAATAATATTATTGTGGTAAACCCGCATTTTGTGCATACAAACAAAAATCTACTATAGCAATTAAATATTGAGTAAAGTTTTAACGATAGATAGTCAAAAGTATTAAGGAAAGTTATTATATAAAAACAGAATAAGTAAAGAAAAATGAGAAAAAAAAGATGAAAAAAATATTCCTTTTTAAAGAAAATGTGGAGAGAAACCGAGGAAATGAAATAAAAGAAAATGACCGATTGCTCTCTCCAATTTGCATTGAGGCCACATGTTGTGATTTATCCATTTCTTTATTCATGTAGGATGTTTTCAAAACTCACTGTAATCAGGTGTAACAAATCATGTTTCGTCAGATTCAAGATAATAACAAGAGGAAAAATGAATGCTTGAACGATTTTCCAAAGGAAAAAAAAAATTGATATAACACTGTGTTGAGATTTTAAATAATCGTATTCAATGGATTCAATCGAATTAACGAAAGCAAGATTTAAGGAGATGTCGAAGGTGCGCGTTTATTCCCTCAATTGTGGAAAGTTATCTATCGTAGTATTATTAGGGAGTAGCGTGTAGCCCATATGATATTGATTTTTCATCGAAATATGAATACTCCGATGATAAGTTTTTGATCACTATACGCGCGCGCTTAATACGCACTCATTCTAAGCAAAAATCATACGGACACACGAGTACACACTCACACAAACACAAGAAACACTGGTTAGTGAAGGATAACTTAAACGTGAAAACATTCATCAAATTATAATTGAGAAATAGGTGCGAAGGCGACGAAAAAAAGTAGGCGCTTCGTGTAAACGACACAAACGGTGTAAAAATGTATGTAAGATATGATTGTAAAAAAGTTTTAACTTAAAATAAATTAAACGATAAATCGTACACCATGCGAATTGGATCTTTCATTTTTTCTTTTTTTCTTTTTACATTGATATCATTTCCTTTAAGAATAACAATTATGTGCAAGAGTATCTTATATGTATTTCCTTTCTCCTTTTCCAAACATTTAATTCTAACGCAATGATAAATTAGATGCAGCCACAATGAAGATGTCAGAATAAAATAATTAATTCGAATTTCATCTGAATTAGACCTTTAATTTCATAGTATTATCAAATTGCTAATAGTAAACGTGATTAATTGAAATTGTTCAAAACTGATGAATATTGCATTTTTTAAATTGCAATCTATTCAAGTTGGAAACAATTATTTTATGAATAAATAAAACATTTTTTTTTTTAATATATGCTATTAACTTTTTCCTGAAATGTATATAATGTAAACGAGGGACATAATCAAAGGTTAATGAATATTTTATAAATATAATTAATATAAATAAAGTAGTGATAAAAATGAATAAAGTAGATTAGGCTTAATCATTAAATTAAAAAAAGAAATTGTTTTCTATTTTACTAATCATTTGAGAATTCAAATAAGCAAAGATTTTATAACCAAAATAAATAATCTGAATTTTTATTGAATTTTTATGAATTTTTATTGAATAATAAAATATTGCTTTTCTAAATGAATATTTTATTCATATGTTTATTGATCCCTATCAATAAGAAATAATATCAACAAAATAATTATCAAAAAAGAAATAATAATACAGAATATTTTGCTTTTGATTAAGTGCCAGCTAAGAGAAAGTATAAACAAGAGATAAATTAAATATTTATTCGGTTTAAATATACATCATCTTGAGCATTAGTGATGTGAATCATCATTGTATACTCACTCATGCAAAGTGGTATAAGTATGTTTAAAATCAAAGCGAATATTTGAATGTGTCTGTAGTTTTAGGAAATATTAGTGTCGTTCCGCAGGAGCGAAGTGAACTACTAAGCCGATAAAATATAAATTCTGCAATGTAAGGAGAACTACGGTTAAAATGGAGCTATTAAAGTTAATGTCTTTGAGTGGAGTGGAGTCAGAGGAGGTAATAGTAACGTGAATACCCCGTTATGCGCAGACGCGCAGGAGGAAGAAAATATTGCATATCAGACGTGATTGGTCACTTTGTGGATTGGAAGTCTGGTTGAGAACCTTCGACTCGCTACCGTTATATTGCACGGTAATTAAAACGTCGACTTTCTTGTATGGGAGGATGCGTCTGAACGAGTTGTTTAGAATATATTCCATGCTCCCTTGGCTCATATTATGCATTAGCAATGCACTTGCAATTATATTGCACTTGAAAAGTAAGTACGTGAAAAAAAAAATAAATAAAAAAAAATAAAGGAAGATTTATAAATCTGTTTAAATTTGTTTAATTTGAGAACGAAGATAATTGAGAAACGAGTGCTAAATCGCTAATATTCGTGTCCAGTCAAAGAAACCTAGTTGTTATTCACTTGTACTAACGCAATACAATAACGATGTAAATTATTGTAAAAATTTAGAATTTTGGCAAAAAGAAAATAAAAATAAATTTCCACGATGATATGAAAGAAAATAAATTATCATATATATGCATTTTGAAATGGTTTTTAATCAACTAAAAACGTGAAATGAACTCCAATAGTTCCTTCCATTTCATAGCGCGTGTTCAATACCATACAAAATAAAATCTTTCTTATTTTATTTTTTATTGGTAAATATTTTACACTTCCATCAATTTTTAATTCAAAAGATCAGCTAAGCAAGAGGAAAAGAGAATTACTGATAATATTTCAGCTTAAGAGCTTAGTTCACGAATCCGTATTAATTAAGATATAGTCACTTAATTAAAATGCTTTATCGCAAATAAAAGGTGTTTTTACATGTGATTCAAAGGTAACGGTTCACTGCTAAAGGTCAACGGTTCATGATATATTAGTAATGCTAACGGTGATTATTATCGATATGTGATCGTGTGATACTAGCATTTGGGATGTTACAGAATGGGTATCGCGGTATTAACATGTGATCGAAAAAGCCATTAGAAAGTAAAGTCTTGTAATATAAGTCTTATGATACTATTCATGGAAATAAATCATTAATGAACCTTCAAACAGAGCTATTGAAAACATTAGGTATTTCGACTGATGAGATAATATTTCAAACTTTAATGCTTCTTGTTATTTGTCTTCGATACAATTAATACAGCTAATTACTAAAGAGAATAGTTTAACAATAGATGACAATCATAAATTTATTACTAACTCTGTTATTTTTGAAATCATTGTTATGATATTTTATTTCTCAAAATTGTGTGTATGTAATGAAATGTAGGCGTATGTAATATTGAAAATAATATTGACATTCATATTTTTTCAACATTATGAATTATAGTATTATATATATTAGGGTATCAATGGTCAAGTAGATAATTAATAAAAAATAATAAATGCACAGGAATTTTTGGAATATCGATTCATAAAAAATACAACTTGTAAGACAAATTGAGAAATATCGTTTGTATATTACATTTTAGTCATATTCACTTTACTCATTTTTGTTGTACATATTATTTCTTATTTAGTGCTCCAGTATTGTCTAACGTTAAATTGCAAACGCATAACAAGTGACTATTTATTTTCTGTAATATGT